AATCAAGTTTGATGACTCTGGGATTAATGGTGCAGCATTAACTGGGCGTGGTGACACAGGCCTGTAACCCTAGCTACTCAGGAGGCTGAAGCAAGAGTACTGCAATTTTGAGGACAGCCTGGATTCCTGTCTCAAATTAGAAAATAATAAAGGGCCAGCGATACAGCTTACTGATAGAGTGCTTGCCTGGTGCACATGAGCCCTTGGGTTCAATCTCCACTACAGGGGCTCCTGCACTGATGGTGCAACATTAACCAAAACACTGTAAAAAAATTTACACTGCTCAGAAAGTCATTGGGTATCCTTTCAATGTAAAAGCACCAAACACCTACCATTTTGTGTAAAATAACTACCACTGATTAATCTGAAGGTGATATTTACGTTTATCAGCAGCCATGAGTTCTTTGTGCCTAAACATACTATTTATATGTACTGTACCAGTTTCATGAAGAGACATTTAGCAGTAAACTAAAAGCCAAAGTAGTATTAGACTGTCATGTCACATTAAAATAGTCTCAAATGTGGATATGAAGATGTGCTTAGAAAGGTACTGACAATGTATGGCTTTCCTCAGTAGCATATTCTGTAGAAAGGACTGCTTCACTACAATATTTTTTGGGGAAAATCAGTCTCTCTAAACTCACTGTTATTCCTTTGCTAATAGTTCTGCTTTCCCTTTTTAAAATAGTCAAGGGTTTCAACCAATGAAGTTGCTGCCACCTTATTAAACTTTAATAAGTTAAGCTTTTTAAGCCACATAAACATTTCATCAAGCATTTCTTAATCTTAGGAAAGAGGGAAGGAGGAAAAAAGGTCAGAACATCACTTTCTACTCTCCTTTGTCTGGAAAGGGATGCTTCGGAAGGAGCCACAAAATAAATGCTAGGAAAGAATGCCCGTCTGTGGCCTGCGCCAGATGGTGATTACATTTGCTCCTTCATCACACAGGCACCACCCTGGATACTAATTAAAGTACCATCTTCAAAGAGCAGGCTCCTGGGACAGCCAAGAGCTTTATTCAAAGGTTCCTGGATACTCTACAATCAGCCCATTACTACAGGGTTTTTAAAAAAATTAAGAATAACATTTCAGAGCATCTTCTAATTATTTTACTTTCAGTGCTTCATTTGGAGCCTTTGTTTTCCCTTACAGACAGGGTCTCACCAAGTAGTCCAGGCTGGCCTTGAACTCACTATGTAGCCTAAGCTGGCCTCGAACTTACAATGATCCCTTGTTTCAGCCTCTGGAGTGCTGGGATTACGAGTGTGCACTACCACGCCTGGTTTACGGGGACATATTTTTAAAGACTCTTTAATCTAGTTTTTGAAGAAAGTTACACAGTATGTTATCACACGGAAACAAGAGGTGGGCTATCCGAGGATCTCAGACTTGAGGAATGAACACAAGGTGCCGAGTTCCCTGGCTTCCTTACAGACTCTCATATACTCCATATAATGCGGGGGTCTCCAACCAGTAACTGCCAGAATGAACAGACAAAGCCAAGGGAAGGCTGATTTCCTTAGTTAAAATACCAGGAAAAGGGTGGTCTAATATCAGAAAGCCTTTTGGGCAGTATCAGTTCTACTCTAGGCAAATGCCAAGGGGAGAATCACAGTCCTTCTCCCATCCTGGTTCCACCAGTGCTGAGAGTGAAGATGAACTCCCACCTAGCTCCTCACAAAGGCACGTTCAGTAAACAGATCCAGCTAACAGTCTGCGGAACACTCCACTCAACGGCAGAACACAGTCTTTCAAGACCCATGAGACGGTCACTAAATTAGACCACATCCTAGACCAGTGATGGTAAACCTTTTAGAGACTGAGTGCTAACTGCAGCCTTTCAAAATCCACTTAGTTATTACAAAGTGCCAACCCTGCAATTAAACTTGAATAATGAGGTTTTAGTTTAGAAAAAACAATTCTACATTAACATCTTTTGTCTTAAAAGTAAAATACAGTAATATGCATGCCATAGGTTTGCCACCACTAGATCATAAAACAAATCTCAAAAAATAGATAAAAATTAAAATCAAAGTGTTTCTCTGATAACTGAATCAAACTAGAAATCAATAACACTAAGATAACAGCAAAATCTCTCAAGTAGAAATTGAACACACTTAATACTTGGGTCAAAAAGAAAAAATACTTGGGTCTCGAAAAAAATGTAAAGAGCTGAAAGAAAATATATGTTTAAAAAGTGTGGTACACAGCTAAAGAAGTGCTGATAATTTATAGCACTAAACACTCATAATAGAAAAAAGGAAAGAAAAAAGTAAATGAATTGCAGACTTAAACCTAAAATGTAAAACTATAAAATTTCTGGAAAAGAAAAAGGGGGGAAATCTTTGGATATCTAGGTAGGGCTAACCAGAATTTTGCTTTGATAAAACTAAAAGCATGATTCATTAAAAGAAAACTTCATGAATTAATCCTTATCAGAATTTTTGCTCTCCAAGTGTCCCCATCAAGGTGTTGAAAAGACAAACTATAGACCATGAGAAAATATTTGCAAACCTATGTATCCAAAAAAGGATTTCTATCTAGGATATGTAAGGAATTCTCAAAACTCAACAGCGAAAACAATCCAGGTAGAAAACAGGTTAAGAGCCATATACGGACATTTCACTAAAGACAATATTCAGATGACAAACACGTGAAAAGATGTTCAAAATCAGTAGCCATTGCAGAAATGAAAATTAAACCACAAAAGAATGTTACTACATATCTAGCAGTCCCTCAAGTCAACCATGGTGATACCACCAGAGGCTGTTGAGGACATGGAGGGACTGGATCAGTCACACGTGTCTAGAAGGTTTGTAAGATAGTACAATCATGTGGAAAAAGAGTACTTCACTTTCTTTCTTTCTTTCTTTTTTTTGCTACTGGGGATCGAACTCGGGTCCTTGCGCTTGTGAGGCAGGCGGCGGAACCACTGAGCAAATCCCCAGCCCTACTTCACCTTCTTATAGAACTACATATCTGCTTACCATGGATAACCTCAAAATTGTGCTCTGGACATTTATTTACACTCAGGAATTATACCTTTATCTGAAGTAAATGAAATCTCATTCACACAAAAGCCTGTGTACAAATGTTCACTGCTATCTAATTTACAATAACCCTACATAGAAAGCAACCCTGATATCCTTCAATGAGCAAATAGTTAGATAAGCTGTAATACATACATCCACACCGTGGAATACTATTCAGCAATAAAGGATAAACTACTGATGTAGCAAGGTGGAAGGACCTCAAGGTCCGGTCCGACTCCATCTACACTGCATTCTTGAGAGGACAAAACTGTAGAGATGGGGAGAAGATCGGCAATAGGAAAGTCAGGGAGGGAGAGAAACAAAACTACTGCCCTAAGACTGGCACAGGGGTCCTGTGACAAAACTGTTGTGTATCTTGGACTTTGGAGCTGGTCACAAAATCTACACATGGGATAAAACTGCACAAAATGAAACCCACACCCAACCAAACCCACACACAAATAGGTACCAGAGTGAGAAATCTTTAGATTTCAGTGAATTCAGTAAGATCAGTAGATTATATCTGTGTCAGTTTCTGGGTTGTGTTATTTCTTATAGTTAAGCAAGACATTACCACTGGGGAAAATTGGTGCCGAGTATGCCTCTCTGTATTATTTCTTATAAATGAAAGTAAACAGACAATTATCTCAAAATAAAGTTTAAAAAAAATGTAAAGGACTAGGCCCGGGATTTAGCTCATTGGTTCCGCCACCTGCCTTGCTATCGCAAGGTGCCCAGTTCGATCCCCGCTACCAAAAAAAAAAAAAAATGTAAACGACTGGTATTCTTGGGTTTTTTTTTTTTTTTTTTTTGGTACCTGGGATCGAACTCAGGTCCTTGTGCTTGCGCAGAAGGCGGGCAAAACCACTGAGCTAAATCCCTGGCCCTAGGAATGGTATTCTTGACAAAATGCATATAATCTGAATCTAATCAGGAAGGAACAGAACATCAGACAAACTCAAATACGAAATAACTGACCTATACTCTTCAGTAATGGCAATGTCATGACCAGCGAGACCGAACACAACACACGATCCGCTCTAGTTGATCCTGTTTTTTTTTTTTTCTTTTTTCCTAACAAGAACATTACTGAGCCAAGTTTTGTACAATTTGATATTTTTATACAACTTGATATTTTCTCGGACATTCTGTCACAGGGACAGAAAGCTTATGAGCACAGATTTCTATAGGAAATGTCTAAAACAGGGACCTAAGAGCTCAATCCAGGATCCTAGAACATCAAACAAACTAAGTACCAAACCAATGGAACCATCATCTATAAGCTTTCCACTCCAGAGCAGCACACTGTCTCTACAGCGTCTTCATTCATTCAAACAAAATTTGCTGAGCATGAGAATGAGGTCATGGATGGAATTTCTAAAATGACTATCTAGAGATCTCTTCTGTCATTCCTTTATCTCACTCTCACCACCAAATCTGAGCTTAGCTATGACAGAGAACTTACGTTAATACATATTTCAAACTTCACATGGGTAAAAGATTCTTGTGGAGGGCTGGGGATTTAGCTGAGTGGTGCTGCCGCCTGCCTCGCAAGCGCAAGGTCCTGAGTTAGATCCCCAGAACCAAAAAAAACAAAACAAAACAAGATTCTTGTTGAAAAGAGTGAAGTTTCCTCAATCTTCCTAGCTCCCCTCTCTAGAGACAACCAAAGTTACCAGTTTGAAAATGTAACTTTGTGATACTTCTCCAAATTAAGAGAATCATCTAGATCATATCATGGTGTTAAACTATCTCCATAAGTAAAATATTATTAATGATATCTATAAATGTAATTTTTCCTTTATATATTTAAAATATCTGTGTATATATGTTTTCAACTATTAAAAAACAAACTGAAGGTTACAATTTTGTTTTTAGTAAAAAAAAGTTAGCAAGATGTATGATCACAGCAGACACCTATGGCTTATGGCTGGTAGAAGCAATGGCTGTAGAGTACTAGTAGCTCACCTGGTTCCTGTCGCGTGCATTTGTGTACCTGATCTTCTGAATGAAGTAGAATATGAGCCATGCTGAAGAAATAATCATCAAAACAATAAAGGATATTGACACGAAGATTAGAGAGCTACGGCTGAAGTTCTTTGGCGGTATTCGAGTTCCAACAGCTATTGTCATCTGTACAGAGATGTTTTTCTCCAGATAACTCAAAATATCCTTACCCCTCAATTCTGTTATCATGACAGCAATAATATCTCCAGTGCCTGTAATATAAAATAAATACATATTCAAATGACATTTAAAATTTATAGAGCCATCAAATAAATAAGCAAGCAAGCTCTTTAGAAGAACTGCCCCAATTTTTGCTAATGGAAAGGATTTGCAGATTCAACTTTTTAATGGAAATGAAGTTAAGGTGGGTATGGTGAATAGTAACCAAGACTCACACTTAAGGTATAAAACAACAGCAGCGTTAATCATATTAACTTGTCTTACAGCTACATTTAAAGAGCACTATGAAACCAGCCCAATGTGACAGGTGATAGTAACATACAGGCACAGAAATGTGACAAAATCATGAACATACAGAGCCTTTTCTATCTTAAATGGTCTTCACAAAGCCCTAGTTTTTTAAGAAAGGAAGAAAGTGCAGTTATTTACAGCATACACAGGTGCTTCTTGCACTCATCATCCTAAGGAACACTATGGAACCTCTACCGAGTGGAACTGGCAGAACAGAAAGAAGCATGGGGAAAGGAGCTCTGTGACATCCATTACCACGGCTCAGGACACACACCTGGTCACACAGCCAAGACAAGAAGGGCAAATGACTAACTCTGACTAACTTTGGTCTTATCCCTAGACCTGACTGGGTGAGGCTCCTTTCCAGTTTACCCCAGAGCTTCTGGAACTCAAATCTTTTTTGAGACAGGTCCATGATTCAACATTCTGGAAGAGTTTGGCATCAAAACCTTTACCTTCCATAGCTGTCCAGAGGTCTGCCCACAGCCACAGACGGTAAATTAATTGTAAGGCTGGTTTGAAGTTGCCCTTCTGAGTCACATGGTCCTTTTCCTTGCATGCTTTCCAGAAGCAGTAACACATTAAAGGCAAGAAACTACCTCTCCTGTGGACGGCACGACGTCACTATCCCTTTCCTCTTCTTCCACAAAGGCAAAGCTTCTCACTTTACTAAAAGGAAGCAGAGAAGCCCCTCTCCCACTGATCCAGCTGTCACGACCATCCCTTCATGACCCCAAACTGCCAGCGACAACACACAACTTTTATAATCTGCCTTCTTCAAAGAGTCTCTAAGACAGCGATGGCGAACCTTTTAGAGACAGTGCTAACTGCAACCCAAAACTCATCTATTTATTGCGAAGTGCCAACACTGGAATTAAACCTGAATATTGAGGTTGTAGTTTAGAAGAAAACCTTCTACATTAACATCTTTTGTCTTTTTTTTTTCTGGTACTGGGGATCGAACTCAGGACTTTGGACGTGCAAGGCAGGTGTGACACCAATGAGATAAATCCCCCCAGCTAACATCTTTCATCTTAAAAAAAACAACCCACAACAACATGTGTGCCATTGGTTTGCCACCACTGCCCTAAGAGCAGCTGGAGGTGAGGAGAAGGGGAACAACGTTTATTGGGGAAAGAGAAAATTATAATCACTTATCTGAATCTGAGCAAGGTTTGTACATATAAATGCAAACCACTAAACCAAACAAATAGGCAGAAACCCCAAAACTTGACCTTTCAAAGGGCCTCTTCAATGAATATTAAAAACATTTGGTTTTATGTTTCATTTGTCATATTTACCTAAAAGGTGCATCCTTGTACTACAATGGCAGTCCAAAGACTATACACAATAGAAAAGAAATTCAATAAGAAAAGGAGTTTTATGAAAAATGTTCCAATGGAACATACATTTGCACGTTACCTTATTCAAAATTGTTCCAGCCACTTTATCAGAACAGCAGTTTACCAGAACACCGATTAAAAATCCACAAACAAAAACAAAATTGCAAAATTAAAGCAAGCAATAAAGTTAACATCTAATTATCTTTTAGAAATAAGGTTCTGGTCAGTAAGTTAGAGAAAATAAAAACTAATGCTTACAGTTTAAATCTCCACCTAGAAACCTTGGGTTTGTGCTTTTAAAATGTTGTTCAACAGGCAAGGATTTGTGGTATAAGATACCAGGTATGGCTATAAAGTAACTGAGACGGATCCCACAAACGACACATGACAATCAGTCTCATTGCTTTATAATCACACCAGGTACAAATCGCTTTAGAAATCATTTCTGAGGCTCCCTCTTGAAGACTCAAGCTGGAAAAGGAGAGGGAAAGCTGTACAGGTCGCCAAGGGAACCAGTCCAGGTAATTTCATTCAAAGAATGCTAAATGAACATGCCAACTAATTTCAATAGGAGAGCTGTTTGGGAAAAGAAGTGTTTGATTATTTCAACCATCCATTCAATGATACTTATTGAGTACATACTATGATCAAGGCCCCTTTTGCTTATTTTATTTCCTTTCACTTGCTAAAGGGACTAGAAAATGATCATCTCTTGACTGACATATGCTATAGTTTCAATCCAAAATGCCCCCAAAAGTCTCATGTCTGGAAGGTAACTGGGCCATGCAGGTGCCACATTCCTCAGTGGACATCCACTGAGAGTACAGAAATCGAACCTTCGTGTGCTGTTACAGGAGGTGGGGCTGGTGGAGGTGGTTGCCTGGGGTGTGACCTGCAAGGCTGCATTCTTGTTTCCAGCTCCTCCTCTTCTGATTCTTCCCTTGCCATGGACTGAGCAGCTTTCTTCTGCCAGGCCCTTCTACCATGCTGTTTCTGCCTTGGAGCCAGCTCACCATGGACCGAATCCCTCAGAATGTGAACCAAATGTACCTGTCCTCTTTTTTGGGGGTGGGGACCTTTATGAGACAGAGTCTCACTATGTTCAGACTGGTCTTGAACTCGCTATATAGCCCAGGCTGGCCTTGAACTTGTGATGATCCTCCTGCCTTAGCTTCCTAAGTGCTGGATTACAGGTATGCACCACCACATCTGGCTACCTCTCCTCCTTCAAACTGTGGATGTCGGGTATCGTGTCTAGCAATGGGAAAGCTCACTAAACTGTATCTGCTCAGGAGGGCAAAGGTGAACCTCACAGGAATTAGAAAGGGAGCCAAATCTAGGTATAGCTTTGTCACCCTAGCACAGAGGAGTAAACTGCAAAGAGGGATAGCAAAGGAGACTAAGACACTTCTGATCCAGCAAAGCGAGAAACAATCACAGGAGGTCATCAGAGCACCAGTGCAGACACTGGGCTCTCAACTGTGCTGCCCTAAATCCCTTACAGGGCCCGATGAGTTACTCAGGGGACCTCTCCTAGAAGAAAGCCCCTTCTTCCCCGACACCTAAAGCCCACCTGGGTTTGAAGACCTTGACTTCAGGATGCTTCAGACTTTTGACTTAAAGATCTGGGAGGCCTGGCTTAGCTTCAGGAGGGCTTTTAATGCCAGAGAAAAGTTAGCCTTTGGGATAAAACTAAGGTTAGATCACAGTGATTGTTAAAGAGTTAAGGATTAATTAGACCATAATGATGTAAACATTCAAGCAGAGATGACAAATATTTGGGACATTCATCATACTCCCATGTCCTAATTCCCTGGCAAACACTGGTAATAAATCATGACTATAGCCTCAGAATCCCATGCATTTCAACATGTCTGGTACGCAGTGTTAATTTACCAGAGATGACAATGAAACTAAAACCCTATTTGTGATTCTGGCTTTTAACTATTTTCTTAAAAAACTTTCTCCACTGTTACTCTTTAATGGGAATCTATGCTTCCAGTGTTTCAGTCTGGATACTTTAACAAACAGTTCTGTTTTTCTTCTTGTATTTTGGAAAATTTTTTCAAACACAATAGCTTCAATACTATGTGAACATTAATGTGCCTTTTAGATTTGTGAACCTGAAGGCTTTGCCCTTTCTGTATTTATTATTGAAGCAATTAAGAGTAAATTACAACCAAAGGGATATTTCATCTTCAAATACTTCAGCAGTATTTCCAAGAACAAGGTTATCTTTAACATCTGCAATTTATTTGTGTGTACTCAAAAAATTCACTGCTGATATAACTTTGTTTTTAATATACAGGTAGAACCAATATTCAAACATCTCTGATGGGTCCTAATAATGCCTTTTTAAAACTTTATTTCATTAAAATTTTCTTATTAGCACGTCTGCAGTACATAATGATTACATTTACCATAGGAATTGCTACCTGTACATAAAACATCTTAATTCTTTTATAACTGCTTTGTTTAGTTTTATACGTAGGATCCAAACAGTGGTTATGGACATTATGCTTGGTTGTCATGTCTCACTGGTCTCCTTCAATCTAAAATAGTTTCCGAGTCACTTTTGGTCCATCATTCATGATATTGACCTCTCTGAAGAGTCCAAGCCAGATGTTTTACAAATGTCCCCTCTCCGATTGTTTCCTGATGATTAGTTCTCTAGATTAAACACAGCTGCTAAGTTATGAGGTGATGCCATAAACTCCCTTCTCAAGATATCACATCAGGAAGCACATGGGAGGCTTTACCTCTATTGCTGATACCAATTGTGATAGAAAATTTTGGTTATTCTAGTATCTGCCAGATTGCTCCACTGCAACTGACTTTTCTTTTTTTTTTTTTTGCAGTACCGGGGATCGAACTCAGGACCTTGCTCTTGCAAGACAGGCAGGATGCCACTCGGCTAAATCCCCGGCCCGTCTTTTCTCTTTTTAATTAATAAGCAATATGTGGGTGACAGTCAGTTCACATGAACAGGCAGATCCTAGATAAGCTTCCCCACCCACCAATGCTCACCTGAAACACTACTCTAGTAGTTATTTTCAAAACTGGTGATTTTTCTTATATTTTAATTTCTCTACATTCTGTAAAATGATTTGTAACCAGAGGCATTAACAAAAATTTCTACTTATCTTTTTCCTCCATTAAAAACAGAACTCTAGGTGGTCACTTTTTCTGTAACACAGAGCTTCCCACTTTCAGCAATTCTATTTCTCAATGGGGAAAAACAATCAGTGGAAAAGATAAGGTAATACTGTTATTAATTCTGACTATAAAATCAATTTTGAGGAGCCAAAAGGAGGAATTTCAGAATTAATCTTCTTTTGGGCTCTGAATCAGGTCTAGGTTCAAATCTCAGCATGATATTCAAAAGCTCTCTGAATTTC